TTATTATTATTTTATTATTATTATTTTGTCCTACCTAATAGAATTCTTCCAAAGCCCAATCCAATATTTTTAAAGCTAAAATTAAGACGATTTTGTTTTAAAAGATTATCTCTCTCTTTCTTTTCTCCTTTTATTTATTTAACTTTTTTCTTTTCCTTTCTTTCTTTTTTTTTTTTTTCCTCTCCTTTTTCCTCTCTCTCTCTCTCTCATTTTCTGTGTTTCTCTTCCTTGTCTCCAGTTTTACTACCTGGTCCTTCGCCAGATGTGTGCCTGTTAGCAGTGTTGTTGTTCAAGAACATCTTGTCCATGCCTTTGAGCGCTTCAGTCAGGTAGTTTTGGAGGGCTGTGAGGGCAGCGCAGATAGCGGGGGCCCCAAAGCCGTGAGTGATGAGGCTGAAGTGAGTCAAGCAGCTCTGAATGCCCGGTTCCAAAATAGGGGTGGGCCGGCTGTTTCCAATGGGCGTCCTGTCCTGGGCCAGGAGATCTGTAAATTCTTTACAAAGTTGCCTGCACAGAAGAGAGAAAGCCAAAGAGAGGAAGAAAGAAGGGAAAAAACATGGTTAGACCCAACCCACATGTCTCCAAGACAACCAAGGTTGAAGGAACAGTTTCAGGCCAAAGCTGTACCCAAGCCCCAGAGGAGGACCTTTTTTAAACCTTCCTTTCTCCCACCAGTGCTTGGGGACCAGCCATGGTGAGCCAGCAGCTCCCTGCTCAAGATGGTGCCCTTCAGTATAAAGATTTTTGCTATTGCAGGATCACGCCAAGTCTGGAGATAGAAATCTCTGCCAGAGCAACAAAGATGCTTCTAGGAAGGTTTCGGTTGGATATTAGGAAAAATTTCTTCACTGAAAGGGTTGTCAAATATTGGAATAGGCTTCCCAGGGAACTGGTTGAGTCACCATCCCTGAAGGAATTAAAAAGCCCTGTAGATTTGGTGCTGAGGGACATGGTTTAGAGATGACCTGGAAGTGCTAGTTTATGGCTGAACTCCGTGGTCTTCATTCTCAACCTAAATGATTCTATGATCCTGAAGCATTGTGAAAATTCATCCCTGTTTTGTGGCTCTAGGAATAACCAAGCTGAAAGGGAGATGCACCATGGGTCTGCCAACCCCACGTCTTCCTGGAGGCTTGACCCTGGCTCAAAGCAGCTCCCATCAGTGCTGTTCCTGGAGGAAAGCACAACCATGCACTGAGAGCTGCTGGGTGGCACAGGGACATGGCACCTCCTCTGAGACTGCTCAGGCTGGGCCACCTTGTCGAGAAAGATCAGGACAATCTGGAGCCTATGCTGCCTTAATCATTGTGTGAAGAGCAAAGCTGTCCTTCCCTATTTTATTTTGGGAGGTGGAATCACAATTAAGACATCAGAGTTGACATCTGGCTCTTGTTTGTTTGCCTGCACCTTTGAAAAATCAGATTTGATTTTTCTAATGAATTCACACACACTTTATTTGCATTGCTCTGGTCCAAAAGGCCTTCAAGTCAACAGGTGCCTGGGCAATGTAGAAACCCTGGGGGCTGGTGGGGTTCCCAAAGGAGCAGTTTCTTTGAGACAGATGCCTACCCAGGGACTGGAGAAAAAAAGGTCAGAATTCTTTAAAAAAAGGAAAGAAAAGATAGAAAGAAAAAAAAAAAAAAAAGCCCTTAAAAAATGTGTTCAGCTCTCATCCTCTGAAATTCTCTGAAACTCCCAGCGGGTTAAAGGTTTCAGAGGGTGGGGAAAGATAAAGGTCTATTTCTATGTGTATTATCCATTAAGAAAGTGCAAGAGAGGAAACTTTGAATTTGGAGAACAAACAGTAATGAGTCCAACATTTTACATCTTCAAAGAGCAAAGCAGGGTCTGCGAGCAATTAAAGTTCTGGGACATTAATATCTTCTGACCCTGCGGAAAAGGGCAATCAAATTCCAATCACGTCTAAAAAACATCTGGACAAATTTGAGCAAATGATTTTTCAACCCTCCATATATTTCTTTAAATTACACTGTCATCGGAGGCAAGCCACGTCCCAGAGCACAAAATAAATGAGAGCTGTTTGGGCTGGGTTGTTTTTTTTTTTTTCTTTCTTTCTTTGTTTTTCCCTCTTTTTTTTTCTTCTAGCTAGACAGAGATGTGTGGAAACACACAACACCCACCACTGAGGACCCCAGCAAACTATGAAGCACCCAGTTAGTAACCTGGAAGGCACAGCCAAGTATAAATCATCACATACAGCACATCCACTGAGAAATTCCCAAAGAGAGAGATGGATTGGGGAGAACAAAACAAGGATTATTAGCAGTACAGGGAGGGGGAGCATGGGTGTTGTTGATGTGGGTTTTTTTCCTTTTCTTTTCTTTCTTTTTTATCTTATTTTATTTCCTTTTACTTTTCTTTTTTTGTTTGTTTTATTTTTCACAATTTTTTTTCCTTTTTATTTTTTTTTAATTAAATCATAAGGAAAAAACATTGCCATTTGGTAGCAGCCAAGCAGGTGTGTTTAAGCAGCAGAAGGGACAGACAGACATGCTATAGAAGCAAAACGTAGATTTTTTTATCCCCTTTTTGTAAAGATTTTTTTAACAGGTGCCTTGGAAGCGATGTGCAGTAACTGGAGGACAGTCACCTCCATCCTCTATAGTGCCAGGAGTGTGTTGGCAGAAATCCCACCGCAGAGGGATGCAGAAGCTACAGGGTCTATACTCTGCCCATAGGGTGATATGAGCATCCTTCCCCCCCGGGGGCCCGTTGTAATTTAGGCACTGGAAATTCCGTCTGCTTTCCAAACTATCTCATAGAAAGGGTTTAAGGAGTGGGAGGAATTTCTCGGGGGAGGGCAGGAGGAGGGGGGTAGTCAACTTCGCACTCACTTTGTAGCCAGCAGCATGTTTTTCCTGGAGTGGAGGTCGCTGGGGTCCGTGTGCTGTCTGTTCAGGTACTCCGACACAGCTTTGGCTGGGAACTCCGTTTCGCAGATATACCCAAAATCCCGAGCTAAATGAACGGCCTCACCTGGACGGAAGGAGAGGGGCATTAACACCTCCGGGCCCCCCCGGCCCCGGGGCTGGGCTGGTTCCCAGTGCCCGAGGCACCGGGCTGCTGCCCAGCGCTCCCTCCGGGACACCCCAGCCCCCTCGGGCCGCCTTTAGAAACCTTATCACAGCCCTTACACCTTGGGGGACAGGCTCCAGAGTCAATTTTTCCCTCCACAAGCCCTATATTGGGGGCAGAAAGAGGCTGATGGGGCAGATTTTCATTGATGAGTTTTTCAGCCGCTGAGATTTGTCTTTGCTACAAGGCACTTGTGGTGGTATGTACCCATGCAGCTGATTGTGCAGAACTGTGGGAGAAGTACACACACACACACTCACATACACTTTTAAATTAACTGGGAGAAAAAAAGAAAAAATAAAATAAATAAATTAAAAACAAAACAAAACAAAACAAAAAACAACAAACCACAACGTGGAAAAAAAAAAAACACCTCAGACTGACCCAAACTTCTCCTACGAGCAGAGGAACCATTCCTGTTGCAACACACCAGGTAATCATCCAAAATTTTACAGATGGGCACATAGCGTTAATCTGAATGTCAGCTCTTTGTGGGACGTTGTCTACACGCTTATTTACACACACACACAGAGCACACGCATCATTAGCACAATTATCGCCACATCTGTAAAATGATGGAGATCACTGGGAATTATGAAATCTGCTCCTTAACTGACCGTCGTACAACAGGGATCTCCTCTCTGCCCCGTTGTAAGCAAGCAACCAATGGCAACCTTTTTCTATCGGAAAAAAAAAAGGAATAATTACTCTAACCCTAATTCTAATTGTCACTTTTCCTGCCTGCCTGGTTTCAGGTTTCTCGCCTCCAGAGGTTCTTGTCATCCAACTCCTACTGATGTACTTCGAGCCACAAGAAGAAGACAGTAGCTGCAGAAAGGAGGAAAAGAGGAGGGGGAAAAAAAAAACACCTCAGACTCTAGGGGGATTCTACCAGATTACAGCTCAGCCCCTCCAGAATAAAGCATTAAACCCTTTAAAGCACCGCCTGAGGGGCCGGGGGGAAGATTTCCAACACGCCAACCAGATACGTCTAATAACTCCAGGACCACATTATTTTTAACGATCAGGAGTTGCTTTCCAACGTCACCTTCTGCTTCCCAAAGCTTCTCGCTAATCACCAAACCGCTTAATGAAAGCGGGGGAGCCCGGGGATCCGCCGGCGCGGTCACCCCGCTCCGGGCGGGGTCCCCCCCGGGCATCGCTCCGCTAATCCCGGCCGGGGCTGGTCGGAGCCTTTCTGCTCTCGGCGATACAGCAAAGCCTGGCTGGGAGCAGAAAAGAAGATAAATCTCCAGCAGGTGCAGCTTCTTCCAAAAAGAGGGAGCTCTTTCAAGGTAACTGTTGATTTGTGAGGAAATCGGGGGAGGAGGGTAACACACACCTTAATACACACTTGACATAGATTTTAGCATCCCTCTGCAACCGCACAGGCTCTGGAACCTCAAGAAAGCTTCGGGGAGGGACTGATTTTCCTGGGAGAAGGACGCACCAGTTCTCACACCCGCAGAGGGGTTGAAGATGCACTACCCGCGGTATTAAAGGGCAGTTGTCCCCCTCCCCTGAAATGCTTCACGCCTCCTATAGCGCATCCCTACAGCTGCAACCTGGGCTGCGCTTCGCACGCTCTCCACAACCTTTATGTGGGTACCAGGAGGGGACCCTTTCTGTCAGCCCCCGTCTTTTGGGGAGCCTGCCTCCCTCTCCGTATGCGGTAAGCTCTTATCGCTCACATAACTCAATCAAAAGAGTGGAAAAGTTACTATCTAGGGCAAATGTTTATGCAAGTTTATATGCAGACGAGATAAGTGGATTATTTATACGCCTCTCGGTGTGTGTGTGTAATGCAGATACACTTAATTCATAATTGCATCCATACTATTCCAGTTATGGTTTTTGGAGAAGGTCCAGCTTCTCTTAGCACAAAGACGCATATAGCCTAAACATATTAATTTTACTTCTCAAAACAGTCGCAATAAATCAAAGAAACCCGCCGAACACCAAAACGACATTAGTTCACTCGAAATGAGGTGAAACTTCAGCCTCCCCTTCCCTCTCTGCTTCTCTCTTTGTTCATTTCTAGCCACCTTAAGGTAAACCGCCCTCTGTGACTCTAAAATCTCTCTGATATCTTTAAAAAGAATGAATTCTGTAATCTTTTTCCTCAATGAGCATCCTGCAGTGGCCATAAATAAGGTCGGGAGGAGCGAATAAACAGGAGGATGGAGCAGACGTGGGGTCGGAGAGCACAGGGTGGAAATTAATAGCAATGAAGAATGGGATTGCCCTGCAGAATTACACATACAGACACACGCGTATAAAAACACATACACACAACCTCATCCTCCCCACCAAGAGGGAGCAATGACCCTCCAGCCCATCACTTCATTTTGGGGATCCTTAACAGTGCTAGGGTTCATCCTAACCCGCCCTGGGTTTCACCTCCACGAGGTTTTCCCACCTGATCCCGAAAGTTGGGGGTTGTGTTTATTTTTTGGCTGGTAAAATGTCAGACATGAGTTCAGAGCAGGCAGGGGTGTGAAGGGAGCTGCAACCCCCGGCTTACCTTCCACCAGGGACGTGAGTAAAGTGACATTTGCGGCCTTACGCCTGCCGGCTGGTAAATTCAAACCGATTTTTTCTAGCCTTTCTCGCAAAGATCTCCCCCCGTTTTTCGATTTGGCTCTAGAATTGCAAAGAAATTAACATCGTGATTAACCCTGCAGTGTTCCTGGAAGAAACGTTTAGCCTTATGCCGTCGATGGAGCCTGGGAGGGTTTTACACTCGACGTTAAAAACTTTGGGGGGGTTGGTTTCTGCTCGAGTTTGAGGAGTTTTGCTTCGTTTCTCCCAGGGGTGGGAGTGGGGATGAACCCACTTTTATCTCTGTTTTATCCAGGGAAAACAAATAATGCCAGACAGCAATAATTAATGGACAGGGTTCTGATCTAGAGAGCGAAGGGTTTCCTCCTGCATGACACTAACTCGTATTAAGATGGAGTGAAGAGATGGGCAGAAAAGAGAATTAAAGCCTCAGTTGTTCCAGGAACGAGACAGAATGGAAAGAAGAATGAGAGGTCGGGTGGGGGCGGAATCTGAAAGGCTCAAAGGGAGAATGTGTGCGCCTGTGGATAAACAGAAAAGGAGGAAAATCTTTATTAACCCGTTTCGTGTGTGTGTGTTCCTGTGCGGAAAGGCGATGCTGAGAGGCAGAGCTCACCTGAAGGCAGGGTGCGTTATAGAGAGGGAATTGAGTGCCTGAAGGAAGATTTGAATATCTGTCGGAGGTTACTGATAAGGGCAATAAAAGGATGAGTGAGCTATAGGTGGGAGATACAGAGCTATTGTTCCGACGTCTATACATATGTAAACCCCCAGGGATGAAACTTGCCATCTGCGAAATCAGGGAGAGTTTTGGCACCTAAGATCAGAGGCAATCTCAAACATCTCTTAGTTCTTACTTACAATTTGTTTAAGAAGTAGCAGTCACACTTAGCAAAAGGAAACCAGAAGCGACAGAGAAGCCATTGACTGGCTTCCCACTATTTTATATCAAAGTAAATAGGGATAGATGGCAGAACTGCCAGAGACCAGCTTCCTATTTCATCTGCTCTGAACCAAAAGCTTGTCTAAAATTCAGATTCAAGATAGGAACTGAAGTCAGCAGCAGCCAATAATTACGGCTTGGGCCGTCTCCAGAAATCCACTGAAGTTCAGTAATGATGTTTCTTTACCTTGATAATTCTATTTTCTACAGTGTATCTCTCAGATGTTCTCCCTGCTCCATTTGTGGCTGTACAGAATGAGCAGCCAGGTTCGCATCTGTAAGTAAAACTCTCTGCTGCTCTCCCTGGCAAGGCTGACAGCTGAGCAATGATTACAGACATTCACGTGGAACAGCATCTATTTTAGGAGACCCTAATTCTCACGTGTATTTTTGGGTGACTGACTGCATGGAACAGGACTTTCCCCTTCCTCTCCAGACTCGGAGCTGGAGCCTCTGACGTCATCACCGTTGTTTTTATGTTTTGGTGTTTTTTTTTTCGGAGGGGGGAATCACCAAAACACCCTAACAGAAAAAAAAGGCTCAAACCACCACCTACCACACCCAACTACAAAACCAACAGCCACCAAACTTCATTTTAAAACACCTTAGAGTCGACATTGCCCAGCTGCTGCTACAGGAGTTGGCAAGATATTTCCTCCTCTACAATTAGCAAATTTTAAATATGATCTGAAATTTATTCAGGGTAAATTTATATGCATTTGTTCCTGTCTTGAAGTTATATTTTATTTTCCAGTCTGGCATACGCCTCCCATGTAGAATAGGAAGTTTTAATCCCTCTCAGCCTTCTATTGCCTTGAGTGAACTGGTGCCTCATACCATATCATGACTTCTTCCCTGTTCTGACTGGAGATACAGCCTTAGTTCACCTTTCTTACAGACAAGTCATGCTGACAATTCACAACCCTCCAGTCACTAACAAGAAGACAAAGGCCTTTCTCCTCTTAGTCTTTCCAGCTGACGACTTCAGAGCTTAAATTCTGATTGCTGACACCTAAGTGCACCATCATCTCTCTGTTGATATGATGCAATGGCGACCAGATCTCCAGCTTATCCCTCACTCTTCCTTTTCCTCAGTACCAATAACGCCAAATATTTTGAGGTCTTCGGCCAAAATCCACCAGGTCATTAGCGGCTGATTTGCACAGCAAAGGCCTGAGGACCGACTGTGAGTAATTCTTCTGGTGACCTTCTCGAAATGAAGCACTAAGTTTCTGACTTTCAAAGCTATCTGTTGATGGTTTCTTTAGCCAGGTACTTAGCTACATTACAGGTGGCCTACTAATCCCTGCCAATTTCAGTAATGTCTTGCGTGACACCGCGTTAACTGCCTTATCTTTATGGCTGTATAGAGGAAGCCTCATATATTTATCTAGGAAATCTCTAGAACTACATCAGGTCCAGAAACGCACCCAGTTCATCCTGCAAGATCTAACCGCAACATGCCCAGCATGACATTTGATTTTGCCCCTTTTCTAAGAGAGAAATGTGAGGAGAAGGAGAAAAGATAGAAAACATGTGCATGTACCAGAGTGAAAAACTTGTCTCAGTTCCTTCATTGAGGAATTCTTTGACAGGAACTGCGCAGGGGCACCTCATTCTCTGGTGTCCACACATGCATCTCAATGTCTGAGTGCAACACCTGAACCTTATCCTCAACGTTACCCACACAGGCCATGACAATAAGATCAATGCATATTTGCAATCATCATTACCCTGGACCAATTTTTTTTCTGGTGCATGCATGGGAGCCCACACATGGGTGTGTTCATGCACTCACCCCAGCTTCTTACCTTCTAAGTACTCCTCCTAGGAGGGATGCGTTCAGACACTCCGGAGGAGAAAGGCGTCTTTGAACTTCTCCCACAGTTACTTTATATTTTGAAGTTGAACTAAGCAAAGACAAGCGACCGGGGACAGAGCAAAACACCTCTCCGGTATTGACTGAAATTCCACCCAGGAAGCCATCTTTATTCATCATCAAAGAAGTAACAGATTTTGGAGGAACTGGAACTGGAGAAAGAAAAGGGGAAGAGGGGAGAGAGAAACCATCATGCCACGAAGTAGCCACAGGACAACCACAGTCTCTCTGACATGCACAGAACAGCAAAATGAAAGGGAGTTTTGAATTTCTGGCTACCTAAAGGGTGCTGCTCCCCCAACCTCTAGGAAACTGCTCCATGAATGATGGATGGAGAGAAGGGTGGTGCAGTACAGCCTCTATGCAGGGTTTGATCGTTGGGAAATAGAATACATATTGGCAAGCACCTGGCAACTTTCGGGTTTGAGCCTGTGTCAGAGCCCCCCGATGCCTTTTGTACAACGGACAGCGCCTTTCTGGAGGGGAAAAAAAAAGGAAAATTTACTTTTTTTTGCTCATATTTCCATTACTGCTAAGCTGAGCCAGGAATAAATTCACTACACGAAGGGAGTTGCTGTCTTAAATAAGTATCAAGGCTGGAGGATACAGCTACCAGAAGACAGCTCTGTTATTGCTTTGTGTTTTTATTAAGTCTGGTTTATGAAATAAAATGAGTCTTTTCCTTCAGAAAAAAAAATGAACACCAGGAAAAAAAAAAAATAAATCTGGTCTAACCATGGTGTTTGTCATATTGTGCTGTCCGAGAAATAGTAGGAACTCCCCTGCCCCTAAGTAAAGCTGGTCTAGTAACTATAACTCATATTTAAAAGAAGTTGTGGGAGGAAAAAAATAAAAGGACACAATAAAGCGAAACTAAATAAAATAAATACATGTTACTCTGTCTATGATAAAATGAAATATTTCTTTTCTCTGAGAAACTACTGAGGTTATTTTAAGAGTAACCAAGGGAATCATAATGAACAAATTCCTATAATAGCAACCAGACACACTCAGAAATAAATAAACAACCAACAACAAATAAAAAGAAAAGCTGAACTAAAAAATGAAAGCAATTCCCCCGTGCCGTGGATTTTGTTTACAAATGAACTTAAATAGCTCCTTCATAATTGCGTGTAAGTGTGATGATTTACAGCAGGTGCTCTTATCAATCAACCAATCCCTTTAATTTATAGGGAGCCTCGCTGCATTTTCCCAGTTGTTTCATTTCTGCGAGTAATTGATAACAAACCGTACTTAAGGTATGTTTTATGCAGGAGTTAATAAGAGCTGACAGCTGCTACTGCTGCTTCCTCTCGGAATCCCGGCAACACGCGTTTCCTTATAGAAAATATACTCTAAAATTGGGGAGGTTTGCTGGTGGTAGAGCCCTGGCAGACCAGCGGGCATGTTTCAGAGGAGAAGACTAATTGATTACACACCCTCGTGGAGCAGATACTGCTTCACAGTCTCCCATTTCCACTCAATCAATTGCAAAACCAATTCGGCAAATAATAGGGTTCTATTATGCACATATGCCAGCTATTTAGGTAGTTATAATACATGTCAGTTAAGTCATAAAAACCCTGTTTATTTGCGACATATCTGGAGAATCAAACCATTAGGGTTGAGGGGATATTTAAGTCGTCTGGAGCTGCTCAACAATAAGATCGGGTATCCTAATATATTACCAAGTGCTAACTACTGGGCAATTGCCAATTTTATAACCTCAGTGTATGGAATAGACACAACCGTGTTTCACTGGTTTTATTACAGATCATTTCCTACTGCCAGACCAGACCCCCACAATAAAAGCTCTATAACAGCTAAAAACCAAAAGGCATGTCGATTTTAGATATACATATTGCTTCATGTGCCTTGTATATAGTCTCCAGTATAAACAAATTATTTTGAGTGGCTTGACTTCAGGGAATCAGAAAGTGAAATGGATTCCTATTTCTCTATTATTTTTAGTTAGGCACTTTATGCAGCTCGTAAAGGCGGTTTCAAATAGTTTGAGAACGGCACAGAAACAGTTATAAAAGAGTTAGAGGCCAGCTTCTGCTTTCCTTCCTATTAATAGGATTTTTTTCCCTATTGATTCTATAGGAAAAGACTCTTATGGGGGTATCAGATGTAGTACTAGCAGACCAAAAAAAACCCCAACCCATCTCGCTTCCCCCATTATACAGAAATATATCACTTATTTCATGCACGATGTTCTGCAACGTCATTTCAGTGAAGCAGTAAGCAAAAGTTTGGTGTTTTTTTTATTAAAAAAAAAAAAAAAAAAAAGTGGATTAAAGCAGTGCTACCAGACAGATTTTCATGACTGGCATTTTTTTTTTTTTTTTCCTTTGGACAAACACACGGGCTCAGTGGCTCGAGTACACCTTTACAGTGGCTATATTTAGTGACCAGTTTATCAGGTCACTGTCCAGTGAACTGAGAAATTAAACAAGAGGCAGCAATTCCACGACCATCTGATCTTAGTCCAAACTCACTAAAGAGAGAGGGACCCTTGCAACGCTTAAATGTCCCTCACCCCACCCGCCTTGGCCTTTTGGGGCACTCATTACATTAGTTAACCTTTGAAATATGGATTTTCACGTGCTCAGTGGTGGGGTTTTTTGACTTGCAAATTGCTTTGGGGAAGCAGGTTGGCTCCCTTCCCTGCTATGCTGAGAGCTCCTCAGCTTTTCTTCCTCCCACTGCCTCCTCGAAAAGGACCGTATGAACCTACCCATCAACTGGAGTCTAATAACTCTAAACCCATTTTAGAAGCTTTCCAGGCGGTGTAAGCATATCTATTGCAATTTCATAGCTTCAGAGAGATGTATTCTATCTAGACTCTATATCTTCTGTAAATTACCTAATGCTGCCTCAAAAAAAGTGTTTGCCATGGAATGAATTATCTCTATCTATATCATATCTATATGTTTATCGTGGCTATAGCTTTTCAGATATAGCCCAGACATCACCAGAGAGAACATAACGTGGAGGTTTTAGTGGGTGAAAAGATGTACACGTCCCTCTGCGTCGTTGCATGTGTCAAATCCCTGCGAGTATGTAAATAAACTATAACGCAGGGTGTATTTATAGCCCATGTCAACTTTCCCACTTGGTTAGGGACTGCCACAACTGCTGAAATAACACAGCATAAGACACGCGGTTATATATACAGCGTCCCCACTTCTGCTTTAACTTTATCCCATTTAGTTCTTGTTATCCCCAGCAGAAACAATTCGATTTTCTTTCCCTGTCAAACTCTGTTTGCTGTGTGCATGTGAGCACTCACAAATACAGAATTTCCCTTCCAATATCACTGTCTTCTCTTTCTTTCTTTCTTTCTTTCTCTCTCTCTCCTATATTTTTTCTTTTCTTTTTTACTTTTTTTTTCCCTCTCCTGTCTCTTTTTCTATCCCTTCTTTTCTTTCTATCTTTCTCCTCCTGTGGTTACTCCCAGCGTCTTTGTCATTTCTCCCCTTTCCATTTCTCTTCAGCTTATCAATAAACCGGGAGAGCAACAGTAGCCGCTTGATTTGTTAGTAATTATAAGCATACTGTTCCTGCAAACGGGATCTCTAGATGAGTGAGATCGCTTTAAAACGACAGCAGGAAATGGTGGGGAAATGGAGCATGGCGAAACTCAGCGTGAAGCTTTCAGTTCTTTACATGTTTACAATTTTCTGTGCATACATTAAGTCTTAGGGTTTCGTGTTGGTTGTGGGGTTTTTTTTGGTTTTGGGTTGGGTATTTTTTTTTTTGGAGTGGCGGTTGTCTGTTGGGTTGCTCCCCACGAATGAGTGAGAATGCGCACAAATGGAAATAGAAATAAAAGGTCATTTCAGCAACACTAAAAATAAACAAATAAATAGAATAACGTCCTGAAAATAGCTGAATAACGAGGCTCTAAGCTAGAGATATCCCTAGATTACCCCCCGCAAGAACCCTGGTGAATGTTATGCTAGTCGATTAGTCAATCGAACAATCAATTGGAAGAAATATTTCTTATATTTCTTACTAACAAACATCATGGGCAATCGTTACTAATCAGCTATCAAACTGCCGTCAAATCTTTTTTATTCCCCCCATCTTCCTACTGAGTCTGAAATGAGCAAAAAAGTTCTTTGTCAATGATAATAAGACTTTGTTGTAACTAGTCATTTGGTCTGATTTGGCAGCCAGACCTAGAAAGTCTGGAGTCAACGCCTTACCCATTGCCACTAAAAGACTTGGTCCTCGTTTTCATCACAGAAAGTGTGTATTCAGGTCCTCTTCCCCCCTCCCTCCCCTCCACCGCAATCCCCTTCCCCTGCAAACCAGGGCTACATTTCAAAGCGAAATGTATTCCCTCGAAATTGTTTTGCATTCAATTAAAGAGGATCACAAGGTTCAGTGGGTAATCCAGGGAAAAGCACGAAGCTGAGTGGCAGCGAAGCAACATCTCCCATTCCCAGATCTATCACCTGAGAAGCTGAGGCCAGAGTGGTTTTCGGTTAATCATTTAGCCGGATACCTCAAGAAAAGGTGGGGAGGACTCTCATGCTGTATTATTAAGAGTTTAAAAAAAAGAAAAAAAAAGTTGCCACCTCCTTTTCTACGTTTCTTTCAAATAATATGAACAATAGAGAGTGTTTCAAGGAGACAATGAATTAAGGTGTTAGGGTTAAAGTGGCTTTTTCGTGCTAAATCAGATGGGAGCGTGCAGACGATCGTCAGAAACAGCTGAAAGTAAATAAACACATCAGGATAATTTTAAGGTCACTGACTGTGCCCCAGAGTCACAAAAAATTAACTTGGGACTCGGGCCATGCAAGATTTTGCAAGAGGACCACTTCTTTCGCCATAGTCGGTGCCAAGCAAATTTCAGATGAGCAGCTGACAAGGGGACCCGATTCCTGACCCAGGGAAAAACCTTTTCAGCAGAAATGGAGAGAAAGGCCTCAAAACGTGCACTTGGTAAGGTCTTAAAGCCGAATTAAATCTGGTATTAATGCTCTTGGTGATTATTATCATCTAGATGATTTATCTGGCTCCCCCCCCCTCCCACTTCCACCACCCAAATCTTAATGGAACTAGGAGTTAACGATGATTTTTTAATGTCTCGTTGGATTTTTACACTGTTAATGTACCGCATCCTTCTCATTATTAGTTTATTGATTGTTCATTGACCAGCCCCCTTCAAATCGTATTAACCACCCTCTGCCAGTTTAGATTAGGAGAGTTTAAAAAGCACCTTTCATTATTTCACCGCCACCACAGTCGAGTTCAGGCTTGGTAGCTTAATGCTCGCTCTAATGGGGCAGCTAAGAGACGAGGGGCCACGGTCCCTGCCTATTGCATTAATAGCTCAAAGGGGGCTAATACAGAAAATTAGCCTTAAACGAGCTCTGGAGATCTCCAAATGAAAGAGCCATTTATCACGCTGGCTACCTTCACTCCACTCGTTTGCTCTCTCTACTGGGAACAACTCATTTCCTCTTAACTAAATTACTTCAGAAATGCCAAGTAAGCTCAGATAGCAACCATAACAAGAGCCTGTGTATATGTAATCTGTTGTACGGGATCGATACACGAGATAAATCGATAGCCGTGTATGAATCCCTATCTAATTTCCTTAATATTTTTTTGGTAATCCTTTCGCCTAGATAGATAATTCCCTCTGCAGGCCTCAAAGACCGTGAAAAAAAAAAAACTGACACACACAGTCTGATGACATAATCTGGATTTCAAATCCACATTATACTTTTCCCACTACATAGAAATTAAAGGGGTTTAGGCACTAAAATAGGGTTTGGTGAAATAAAACCCCTCCAAGCCTTGTCTAGCAACTGGAAAAAAAACACTCAATACCCATCTATCTACACCATCCACTTGCAGCAACGACTTACAGAGTTTAAATAACTTATTCTTACTTCAAAGTACATCCTCACAGCTACAAACTGCAGGGAACAAAGCGAAATTGCTACTGAACCCCTCTCTGTGTCGCTCCTTCTCTCGTCCTGATTAAATATGGTCTGCCACGAATGTGAAACACTATTTATTACACATTTCTCTACCTCTGCACCCAGAAAACTCGCTGTGCAAAAAGACACTGAGCTCTCCATAGTTCTTTATGCTGAAAAGTTTCTTAGAGCTCAGCACGACTTCTCAGGAAGAAAACACTCCTACAGTGACTTTAAAACAGCTGCAGATGAATTTTAGGATCTGTTTTCGTCACTTAATTTCCAAAGTGCGTATGTATTCTTTTTTATCATGGATCAGCTCAGAGTGTCTCTTCCTATAGCTGCAAATAGGCACCAATAATCCCACCTATGAGTCCCACTCAGGGACTGTGTCTCTTTAGGTGGCAGCTGCTCGACCTGGGGCAATGCCCTTAGACAATAAGCACGCCTAGATCTATACCTAATACACAGAATTCTTAAAATTCACATTTTAGTGCTACTCGCTATCTAACTGTACCACCCAGACCGCACATTAAATATCTCTGCTGCCCTCGTCTTCTGATGGAAGGAGAGACACAGGGTGGGGGTGGGAAAAAAAAAAAGGAGTATTTTGAACTGGGTGATGAACAGAAGAGTGTTCTGCGAAGAAGGAAAAAGCGAGCGAGGAGTAACGTTAAAAAGGAGTCTCACGAGCACAAATCAAGCACCAATTAATCAAATACAGCCAAGTGGAAACGCCGTGTATGAGGTGTCAAGCGGGGGTGGGGAGGGGAGGAGCGGGGAGGAAAGTGAGAAAGAAAAAAAGAGGAAAAATACAATCAGAAGCCATCAGGTTAGAGACCCTGAACAAAAAACCTGCTGAAAGTTCAAGCTGAACTAAGACAGGAGAAACAACTTTTTAAATATTTTTTTCCCTTTTTTTCTTTCTTTTTTTTTTTCCCTTTTTTCCTTTTTTTTTTTTTTTTTTTTTTTAAAGTAAGTAACTTTCTGTTTCTCAAAAACACCTTCGACTTTTCGCGGTCATAAATGATGCTGCCAAAAGGTCTTCGAATTTTCATTTGTCCTCCCCTCAAACAACTAGAAGTTGATCGTGGGTGCGCGAGAGAGACAGGACACGAAGATTTAAATTAAAAAAACAATAAATACACGGAAGGACCTCATGCTGCCTTGAACACATTTTAAATAAACACCCTCCCCGGTACTTTGCTTTATTATTCTCTATTAAAGTATTCGTGCGCGTTTGACAAATAATAAGGTCCTGGAGATAAGTGCTGCTGATAGTCAGCATACGGGACAGCGTTTTCTAAGCCTCATCTCTGGTAGTTAAAATTGAATCTAGAAATAGAAACTCCTTAGATAATTAAAGATAGCTTTCCC